ATACAATAATAAGTATATCAGGAGCTGCTATATAATTACTTTAGTTTGGTTGCTATGCAAGATATGCCAGGTCATGATTCATAATTATGGAATATAGGAAAAACTTTCGTAGACCCTTTTCAAGCATATTTATTACTCCAGATGTATAAGATTTTGCTAAATATAAGTTTATGTAAAGAACGTGTGAATAAAACTAATAGTAAAAAGGTTTTTGTGTAAGTTACTGATATTAAAATTTCATACAGTGCCGGCCCTGGGGTAGTACTGGAAAGCGGTCACTGCGTTGTTAACGTCATATTTGCTACATGGACCGCCAAAAACAGAAAATTTCTAGAGGAAGCGGAAATTCACGTGAGTTGTAAACGTCGATTTAAGGACACTGAAAGACAATCTCGCTTTACTTAACCGCCATCAAGGGCTGCGGCCGGCGCTGTTTATATGAAACCCGTCAGGAGACGGAATTGTGCATGTTTACGGAAATAGGTGAGATTTCAGTAAATCAAATCAAGATTAGCTGTGCTTTTCTGTAAGTAAGAACAAACTCATTTTTCACCGCGGAATTCGCCAGAGTGATTAGAAATTTATTTGAAATTTTGTTCTAATTTTGAGTCACACCGCGGTTTTCGAGGCGAAAAGTAAACTTCTTACAGAATAGCATAACAGAATCAGGCTTACAACAACTGCAAATAATTACTTTGTATGCAGTTGTTATAAAAACGGCACATCCTGGCCAGTTGGTGAAATCTTTTGTAAAAAATTGTCATAAATGAGAAAAGTGCCAATGCATGTCGCTATTGATCTCTTTCCCAAAACTATGAAATAAAAAAGATAGTGAAATAAAAATGATTTTTTAACAAAAATAGAATCCACTTTATATTAACAAAATCACAATAAAATGAATATAAATCCAAATCAGATATAAAGTAAGATTAACAATACTTGAAGTAAATTTCCATTTTTCGCCACTGATATAACCTTAATTTTTATGTCGAGATACAATTCATATAGACGTATAAAACGGGTATACGGCACGGGTTTTTAGGAGTTTTACCAAAGTCATTATACTACATATATAGCAGGTATTATTAAAACTCATTTTGATTTATTCGAAACTTCCTATATAATGTAATTGCGAGATATAGCCAAGTGAAAAGTAAACGCAGTTACAATTGATTGGAGTATTAATCGCTTATTAATAATATATGAAACATACGTGATGATCTAGTTTACGCTATTTATCTAGGTCAGTTTGACAAGATGTAAATTATGCAATTGTGTTATCTTTATCAAAAGGTCTAGCGGTATAAGGAAAATGACATCTACATTAACAAATTTACTCTTACATAAGAATGAAAAATTTAGGCATTCATTTTGATGATTGATTTGATTGAAAGGGCACCGCACGCAGTGGGTGACTCACAGGATTTAATTATAATATATCACCTCCAGCTGTGCTGTGTGGCTATTTCGTAAGAACAAATAATAAATTTTGGAAAATACTCACTTTTCACCTGGGAATCCACTTTAAAATTCGAACCCGAATTAAAAAATATATATATATTCCGCGGTGAAAAGTGATTTTGTTTTAGAATACAGAACAAAATAGCAGTGCAGTTGCAAATGGATACGAATCCATGTAAAAAAAAGATTGACAACACTATACTGCACGAGAATTACTTATATACTTACTACCATGTAATAATCCAGATAGGAAGAAGTCGAACGGTTAGAAGTCAATAATAAAAAAACCTGTATATAAAAATAAATATAAAAAAAACGACGGGTTGCACTCGGGGAGTGCCGGCAGAAGTGAAAACTTGAATATTAACGTTGTGCATTTTTGATATTTTGGAATGGTTAGGGTATAATTTTGCACGAATTGCTTTAATTATCAGTATAAAAGTACTATCATGTATGTACCACATATAATAATACAATATTTATTTATTGCGCTGTCGTACACAAACATGACAATTTATATTACATTAAAAAAGTTTATCTCTTAGAAAAATCAACTTACATGAATCACGTTTAAGCGCACTTAGCGACATCTATTTTAAAGAAATCAACTTACATGAATCACATTTAAGCGCACCTAGCGACATCTATTGTAAAAAAAGGCATTTTCTTCGCAATAAAGCTGCCACGTGGACGTCCTAGATAGAGACTTATTATTATAATACGGTAAAATAAAATATTACTATGTTTCGTCCAATATATTGAAAGTCAACAACCTTTCCAATTTTATTATGTGTAATGACGCGATCAGCCCACGTGTTTAACCAGACGCGAGTTTAACATTTTTTACCCATACAAAAAAAAATGTACAACGCCGCTGAAGAAGTTTTCACTTCAAAAATCTCGTGATTTCTGCATATAGTTGAATTTTAATGAACAACTATTCTCTTACTTCCGCTCAATCGAATGGTACTTGGCCAACTTTTATTTCCTAACTACAACAAAACCGCCAGTGGTTACTGAAGTTAACAAGGTAAAGCCACCAAATATGTAATTAAGTGCGCACTTAACTGTATCTCAGTGCACTTCACGGTTTCGTGGTTTTATTCGCTACATTGTAAAAGTACGTACTTAGATTTACGTATCTCTTCTTTCGTCTTGTATCGTAAAATTGACGATATTTGAAAGAACATTTAAATATTTGTTTCTTAGGTTTTCACGCACATCACTCATTAAATAAAACTAGTTTTTACGGGTTGATGCAAGAAACTTTATTTATTTATTGACGTTTCGTAGCCTTTACAGGCTACGTCGTCAGAATTAAACTTTTATTTAATTTGTCGAGCTACCTTCGAAAGACTTTTATTGAGCGTTCGGTTATTTCATTGTTCGATTTTAAAGTTTTATTGTCTATGTATGAATTTATTATTAAATTTACTTAATAAAGTATTTTATTTAAAATTCTTATTTGTAATTTTGAGTTTATTTATTTGACCCTAACTACCGTAAACTACCACCGGTTCCAAAATTGGGAGACCTTCCTGAGAAGAACCGGCGAAACAAACTCAAGAGAGGCTTTCTATCTCCTTCTTATGTTAAATTATCCAACAAAAAGAACTAATAGTATGTGATAGTCTTGCAGTGTGTGCTCGGGGTTGGGATTTTATCTCCTGTATAATAGGTTCCCAAGCTGGTGGTATATACCAACCATCTTCAAGGGTTCTAGTTCACAACCCAAACGGTACTATTTGGTATAAATTAAATTTTAATGTTCCTTTGCAACCACTGCCTCAATGTCCGACGAAATTAAGCAATATCGTAGGTTTCGATGCAATTCTTAAACTATATACTACTACTAGAGACTACCAATTTCCCAGCGAAACTATAAGGATCTACAAGATTGAAAGGCGGTGCTGTCATCTAACTGTTATTAATTTTACGATGATATACCATTCCAAGTTCAATTTTTAACTGTGATGTAATTGAATGATAAAACAATTATTAATATGATGTAACAGAATCAAGAATTGTTAATTTCTTAATATTACGGAACTTGTCAAACTATTACTATACGTTATTTTTCCTATAAAATAATGTAAGTTTTTTTTTAACTGTTTAGTTTTGCTTTATTTTCGTCTTTTTCTATTATATTTTATTGGCACTTTTTAATTATAATTATAAAAGCTTTTTTTACCAAAACAATTTAACTAAGTATGTTATATAAGATCATAATAATTTTCACATAAATACTCATTTTTATTGATAAGTGTACCTTAGACAGCAAAATACAATTAAGTGCATTGCAAGGAACTGAAGTTCCTTGGTGCATTGTCAAGAATTTTTTTATAGTTCCTACTAGTATTATATAAGACGCTTTAGCTTTGGAGAATTAATTTTTGTTACTTAATTACTGATAAATAAAAAGTATGAAAACCGCAGAAGTCTTTATTTTGTAGGACTTAAACCGCATAAGTCAAATATTTAGTTTCACAGAACTAAATATACTAATATTATCTCTTGATATCAAAATGAAAGCTAACTCATACCTATTTTTAAATTCATAAAACATTAACGAAGTGTTTAATAAAAAATAAACACATTTTTGTCTCTCCTGAAAACTTGTCAAATTTTATTTACGCGGTATTGTTGTATAAGCGACGAATATATATATATATATAGATATGACTGGAGTAAAAATGTTCGTATTTATCACACAAACAGCTGCCGCCCCAGCTAATGTTTAAACATTCTTTAAAGAAAACAAATAATAACAGAATACTTGATATTTTTCCGAAAAAAACACACACAAGACAAAAAAAAGCCTAAGAAAAACAAGCCAAACCCTTGACCTTATTTACTGCTACGTATGTGCACACTACACAAAGATAGTAAATTTAATAATAATGTATTAGAAAATCCTATTGATTTCTTATTGAGGCAGAAACTATTTATTGGTACATTAATTAATGGTCGGTGCTATTTGACCCTGGAATTATCACTAGATTTGTTTTGACTGAACGCATTCTTGCATCTGCAGAGTGCAAGAGTTGTTATGATAAACGACTATCACATATTTACAAAACCATAACGAATAAACCTACTTTGATTTTCACTATAAATATCTTGGCTATCATGATTTATACGAAATGTCTTACTAATAAATATCAAGAAAATAAATATGTACTGACATCTAAAGCTTAGTACGGATACGTGCCTTGAAACGCGCTATTGATACTCATAGTAACACGAGGAGTGTACGGAGTAACTACAAGTAGGTATTTATATTGCGTTCCTGGGTACGCGTAGACGACTACGCGTATTCTGGAACGCGCTATCAGTACGCAGCTTAACACTTTAGTAACTTATTTATCTTATGCACTCCAATAAAGTCTCCTACATTCTGCTTAGTAAGTAAGAAAATAATAGATTTATTTTAAATACCTGCCTTGGCTTAGCGAAAATGCAATTTACTTGTGAACGAAATGAATATTTTCCGAAACTTTTCGCCTATAGGCATTATACCTACGTAGATTAAATAAGTCATCGCAATAATAAACAAAAATCGATTAAGTACATAAAAATTATGAAATGCTATTGATTTGTTCAAGATTTTCACAAATTTTCATCCAAATTAATACTAACTGCTGCTTTATAAGAGATAGGCTATATTTTATCGCTATATTTTATAGTTAGCATAATAGCTAATCAATTTTAGCATCGCTGAATGGTTTGTTTTGTCTCCAACTTCATTGTTGTGGGAGTCACCCCGTGTCCATCGGGCGTGAAGGTCGTCTGCAAGGGTCGCAGTCTGCGCGCGCAACCTGTCGAACGCTCAGTCGATCTGCACCTCTCGTCTCACCGGACGCGCCATAGCCATCGAGAGCGGTGCCGGCAAACGCGTTCGTACCCAAAAACTAATTAACTAAACAACGTTACGCGTACTTTTCACTATTAATTTATTCGTCAAAATAAACGAAACGTAGTGTCAATCATCGTAATATTTTCTGTGGAATCATTTTCATTACCTGTCGACGACTCCCGAATTTCGTGAACAGATGACAGGCGACAATTAGGTGAGTTGTGTACCTGCCAACTACAGATAAGTACTTACAGCGACGTTATCCAAATGTTGATTCGCGTTGGGCAAACGTTTTCGCGTAGACCACGTTAGTTCGAAAGTATTTCAAGGAGACCCTGCTTCTCAATGCTCTATAGCTGAATCAAACCTAGAAATTGTTATAGTAATTATAGTACAAACTACAAAATGCTCTTTTAATAAAAAGGCACTAGAGATATTAAATACACACCGACGGACGTTTTCCTAAGAACAAAAAATTTACGTACAATATTATTTCATATTAACTTAAGTCAATAAATAAGCGCAAGTCTAAATAAAATCATAATATACACAATATCGATAAAGGCGAAACGAATAGGAAAGCCCTTGAAACAAATCTTAAATCTGTTTTATTACCAATGAAACCCATTAGTGAGAAAATATGCAATAGAAAAGTCAATCTCATAAAATTTATATCGAAACTTAATCAAGAACGATGTTTTATGAAACAATGTCAAATAACAGTACGTTTAATTTTAACCTAGTAACAGTTTTCTAGCCATTTTACCATCATTGTGTCTGTCTGTTTATTGAATTCCTTGAAATTTTGTTATTTTTAGACATACTTTAAAGTTATGGTCACTACCTACATTTGTATATCGAATTTAAGAAAAATAAATTGAGGCAGATCAATTAAATCTTCAAGGTTAAATTCTTATAACATCCAAAACCCAAACAAAGTCTCGTATTAATAAAATTGTATTTTGCTTTTATTTTTATGATTGACTTTTTTTTCTTCTTTGACTCATTTATTACAATTTAAAAATGTATGTTTTTCCGTAATTTCTTTACGAAGGTTGAAAATTGATTGAAATTTGCATATACATAATTAATTATGTTATAGTGTTATTTTTATGATACATTTTTTGATATGTTTAATGTTGACCTAATCACGTCTTGAGATGCAATAATTCCATCACTATGCAAAACGAATAAAAAACAAAAATAATTCTAGTATTATTAATGGTTCTTTTAACTAATAAGAATAATTCGCATTTGGGAACCATTCAGAAATGTTTGGAGACTAGGCTGAATTAACATAATTTTTATTTCAACGTGTCAAGGTTATCAAAGAAAATCTTAACCTTAATACGTTGGAATTCTGATACAGTCGAGGCCTCTTTGGTGAATATGATTAAATATTAACAAAGTTAAAATATAACTATTGCTTCCATTGAAAATGAAAATTAAGATTCGTGATAACTACTAGTTTTATTATCGTAATTTCAACTATATAGTCAAGGTAGCTATTTTTTGTATAATGTCACCGCCAATCTGTATATGCCTGAGGCGTATAGGCAATATAAGTATAATATTGTATAGTAAATGATAATATAAAAGAAATATACTTTGCCTAGGTAATGTATATCTTACCGGCAATCTGTATAATCCGACGTTGTATACAATAAATAGGAATTGCATACATTATCTTGGCAAAGTATGAAATGGAAAATAATTTAGTAAATTTTATACATTAAGTAGATTTTAAGTTTTTGTTATTTGGATGTATATATTATTAAAAATTATAATACTTATAATAATTCATACATTGCTTAGACGCCTCAGGTATTTTATACTTTGCCTAGGTATTGTATAGAAAACCTGGATTAAACAGATTGCCGGTAACATATACACTTCCTAGAGATTGTATAGAGTATCTGGTGGTCCACCAGCAATGTGTAAAAAAATAGATTTTGGCTTGTTTATATCCTAACCAAACCTAACCCAGCGTACCCACTTGGATATAAAATGACGGACGGATTCGAATCGAATTTCTTACTGTCGCTGAATGAACTACAGACCAATGAACGTTTGACCAACACACAGTGGGTTAGGTTAGTGTTGTGAATTAAAGTTAGCGCGAGCTGAGCGAGCAAAGCGAAGGTGCTGCAGCAGCGGCCGGCGAAGCGCCGGCCACCTATGGATATATATATGTATAAATAAAACAAAGAAAAGACGACTCCCTATATCCTTTTACACACATTGCCGACTCATTGCTATTGTATGGAATACCCAGGAAACGTATAAAATGAAATATATTTCATACATTTCCTTGACTTTTAGGCATTCTATACATTGCCTAGGTAATAAATAGAATGCCGGATTATACCGACTGCCGGTAACAAATACACATAATAAAGTAAATTAAATGGAATTAATTTCTTTTTGTAATTATACACCTTCCACGAAAATGTATTTAACTGATAGTGAAAATTTTGTTGCGTACTTTAAGACCCGTTGCACCGAATGCACCATTTTTTTGGTTGAACGCGCAAATCTCAGGGACCTTCACAGGAAATCTAACACAAAAATCTCAGGAACCTTCACAGGAAATCTAACACAAAAATCTCAGGAACCTTCACAGGAAATCTAACACAAAAAGTTTTTTTCAAATAGATAGATAGTGAATTTATTGAGGAAGGCTTAACGCTATATAACCTCACGCTGCGGCTAGTAGAAGCGGATCATCGATGTAAAATGTTGCAAAAACGGGTAAAAATATTCCATTTGTGAGCTTTATTTGCGTGCGCTGCGTAAAGTTACACAAAGATCATGTATGGCGGAATTGTTCCCCCTTTAAAAGTTCTATGAAAAAGTCCCCGACACGGCACAAATTAAAAGATGGGCATACGCCCATCTTTTAATTGGCTCACTATAACCTTTTTCCTCAAATTAACTCGGGTGAAACCGCTGGGGACCTTTAGTTGTGACATAACTATAATAGATAGACATATGGTACCGCGGACTTTTTTGTAGATATTGATGTCCTCTATAAGACTTTAGTACATCACTTTGCTGTAGGTACTGTCAATGACTTCCGCAGCGTAAGCGATATAAGGGTATTTTTTGGTATTTTGCTTCACACCCTGGGTTGCGCTATCGAAGTTTTTATATGGAACCCTAGCTTTTTTGAAAAGACTCTATAGCCTATGTACATCAGGGATAATGTAGGATTCTAAACGTGAAAGAATTTTTACAAATCGGTCCAGTAGTTTCGGATCCTATACAAACAAACAATCAAATATTTCAAAAAAAAATGTTAGTAGTCACCCCGATTAACGATTTTTTGGGTGATGTGTTTGTTTTTTACACGTCATTACTTATCATTTGCTTGGTTGCTTATACAACTAATGACTGTTTTTGCTTGATTACATTCTGAGGCAAACTTCATCAACCAAGATCATTAAATAAAGCTGCTTTTGTAACTTGACAAAACACGGATATGGTGTTTTTGTGGCTGACTGATATAAGTCGCGTATGATTTTATTTGTAGTAGTTTGATTTTACAAAATATTATTTAAAAAATGTTGATATAAAAGATTAATAATTAGAATTAAAAGATCACACGTTACCAAAGTTCGCTTGAATAATCTAATATATTTTTAAATTATTGAAAAATGATTGAAAAATGTTCAATCCAACTTCCAAAAATCTTGGAAATCATATGCGTAAATATTTATTTATTTTTACAAGTGTTTAAAATTTTCTCCAAGGTAAAGTCACTTTTAACGTCACGTATGTGCCGCTTGTAGAACATTATTTCAAAGGCACAACAATAGGTGTGATGACGGGGTAAAATAATAAACGAAATTCTATTTATTCCGTCAGTGAGACTATCAAAAAATAATGGACACATTTTTCTTTTGTCAATCAACCAAAAAATTACAAAGATATTAGGGGTGGGTGTTTTTAGAATAACGATGCAATTTTGTATGCGCGCATCCGATGCGACTGGATGCCGATGCCATCTAGTTTTTGTTAACGTTACTATAGCAACAGTACCACAAACTTATCTATGCTGGTGGAGATGTCGCTAGCAGTGAACAAATATGTCATGAAAAATTCAAAATTCCTTGGATAAATTTTAGTTCAAATTTTGCCACCGGCACAGAAAATTTTGTGGCACTGGACTGCGTTCGCTTTGATTATTTTGATTACGCTTTGAGTGCAATTTTTTATGTAAAAATTTTGCCAGCATTCAATATTTTTAGTTACCATACCGGAAAGGAAATAAATGGTTTCGATTACATTTTCAAGTCATGATTGAACACTTGGCATCGATGCGCGCGTCGGATGCGATTTATCTGATACCGATGTGCATTGTGCATCGATTTCACAAATATCTAAAAACGCCCATCTCTAAAAGATATAGCGCGTCAAAGTTTGGAAGTGGGTGCTCGTGCCGTCATTTCTAAGTAAACCAAAGACGTGACGTCATACGACATTTTAAATCAATATAATATCTCTGTTATGTTTTTATTATGTAAAAAAAATAAAAATACGTGTTCAGTACTTTTCTATAATCCACCTGATAGGCAAAGAAAAAAAAGGTAGTTATTTAATGGAGAATTAATTCTTGCGTGACTAAGACGTCACTTCATTAATGATAATTTTGAACGAATTTGCTGTTGTTGATTGTAGATTATACGTAGAAGATTACTTGTTACTTAGATGATTTAGCTACTTATAGTCAAAAAGTTGATAGTATGCTACTTTTAAGCGTTTTTTTTTGTTTCTTCTGCATCTTCTTCTTTCATTCTTCGACCAAAAGCCCCAACTGGTTCTTCCCTCACAAGACTTAAAGTAAATATGGTGTCTACACATGAAAATATTTATGTAATGCACCAGATTTGTCATTTTTATAATCGCTAAACAAAGACGATAAACGCCAACAACTTACATTGGGCAAACTCCAGCGTATTATCATAATATGATTATTTCTCTTTAGTGATTCCATGGAAATTCCACGTTTTAGCACAAACCGGTCTCGCATAACTTTATTGATGACGACCTTTGCTTTTCCTTATTTTATTTCTATATATAAAATGTAAAGTTTTATATATAGTAATCCTGATCGACAAATTGGTTCTTAGTGCTCTCGACATTATTAGAAGAAAATAATTTGACACGTCAAATTTTAGATATATAATTTCCCTATCACGTTATGATCTTTAA